AATGAGACCTTCCTTATGTTTTACTTTTAAGGGAGGAAGTAACAATGACTTACCTCCTAGGAGGTACTTGCCAGAGGAACAAGTATCACCACAGCATTCATTTCCTTTCTTTCTTTCTTTCTGTGTTTCATTTTCCCAACTGTGCCTATGTTTTAAATACACAAGAATTAGAAAGTATCTGCTATGAGAACTGTAAAATCTATACAGTTATATCTAATGTTATATTATCTCCTTTGTCTACAGAATTGTTAATGTCTTTAGTATATGCCATAAAATAATGTGTTTGTACATGAGATTTGTGCAGGGTGGAGTTATGAACATGGCATATGCTTGCTTTGTTAATCTGAAGATGTTAATACTATACGTAATGAAAACAGCTCTTGGTGGTTAGTCTATACTCAAGGGGTTCAGTGGGAGTCCATCTCTTAAGAGAAAAAAGCAGATGGGTAAGGGATTGAAAGATGATACAAAGGTAAAATAAGCACAGAAAAGAACCTCACCATAGCAGGAAAAAATAGTGTTAAAAATATTTTACTTTAGCCACATTAAAACATCAAAATTCAAGAGCTCAACTTCCCGGGGAAGCATACGTTACGGGCACAGCAAGAGCAGGCTGCTTGTTGCAGCCCTGGGGAGCAGTGCCTTGTATCAGGACTGGGAGATCCCCTCCAGCACACATGCAGAGCAGTATTGCCAGGTCCCAGCAGGAGCTGCGTTTAGCTCTCTTAAGACCCAATCTTGCAAACACTTATGCACATGAGTAATTTCAGCTGCCACAAATCAGGTTATTCACCTGGTTTAAGTTTTTGCAAGGCTGGTGCAACATCAGGCCAATGTTTGTAAATGCTAGCCAACAGGATAAAATGGAAGAAACTGCCTTTGCCTCATCTCAGCAATGTGGGGTTTACTGTATTTTTATTTCCCAAATATGACTGGGAAAGGTTACAGCTGCAAATATTTAATTCTTGATTTTTACAGTTTCTTTAATAAATGAACCATTGCAACCATCTCAAGTATAAGGTAAAAAAAAAATCATACAGTTCAAGAGTAGCCTGTGATTTTAAGAACTTCTAACATTTCATTGTCATTTCTGTTACCAGTTAGGGCCCTTTTTAGAGACCAATGGTTTTGTCATGACTCTCAAATTGTGGATAAAGCCAAATGAATGGAACAGAAGACATCTACACTTCTCAGCTTACTGATGTCTTCATACTTTTCTGCATTTCATTTGTTTGTAGCTGATTTCTTCAATTTGTAAGTTCTGGAGAAAACTGAATCTTCTAACAGATTTGTATTTAGTAAGTATGAGTATTATTCTCTTATCATACGGATCACTGACCAATGTCTGGTGTTTGTGATTTTCTAGTTGCATTGCTCCAGAACATGCAGGTTTATGACTTAATATGTGATCTCCATGAGCTGGAAAGACTCAGAACATATGGCAGATCAGATGTTAGGCTTGGGGAAAATCAAAAATTAAACTGTCTCCGAGACAGTTGAGAGACTGCTTTGCTATATATTTTATGTGATTTGTGCGTGTGTGTTGAGGGAGATGTCACCTAGGGAAGGGAACTGAAGAAAAAAATAGCTTTAAAAATGAACTGTTTGTATTATGGCTCTAAACATTAAAGTCTGGTCAGCTAAAAGCACATGTTGTGAACTAAAATGGAAACTTGCCTGAGGTCAGAATTGAAGAAAGCGTTCTCTAATGCCTCTCCTTACTAAGGAGTAAAAAATGCTTTCTGGTCTTGGAATTTATTATAAGCACAAAATGAATGCTTATTGTATGCTTATAAACACATCCATTTTCCCACTTTTATTCCAATTACTGTGTAACACTGGCAGCTTCAGAACTGAGTTTCAGACAATGGGTTCATAAGCAATCCTGACTGCATTCTATGCTCTTTATCATAAAATCTTTTGTTGTTCTGTGCTGGCCAAGATTCTGTCATGCTGGAAATAGGAATGAAGTGCTTCTTACCCTTGGCTGTCTGCCCAGTAATTAGATGGTGGATTAAAGCATCCAAACATGTGGTGTAAATTTGGGGATACTGTAATATGACACAGTTCCGATGAGAGACTTTTTAAGGTTAAGAATAATAAAGACCTCATATATGTTGAATTGCAAAAATGATCATAACCTTTACTGCATTCTTTTAATTGACCTAGGCTTGAACAACCTGAAGGAATACACTTACATTACGTAAACGTACAATGTCTAAGAATTTGAAATGCAAAGTTAAAAATCAATATTTGGCAGAAAGAAAAAAGTTGATTAAATAAAAATTATTTATGTTAAAATCAATATTTGAGAAAATGTCTCCTTTTCATCTATTTATGTATGAGGAAATACATATTTACAGTAGCTGCCTCTATAGTATTTGTTGACTGGCACGAAGCTTTGAACCAGCTTAAAACTTAGTCCTTCTGAGACAGTTCTGCTATTTATTTTAAATTTAACAGTTCACAAGCTTTGCTCTAATGGCAAGTCCAGAACTGTAAGTGGAAATAAAAAAATAAAACCACCTACTTCTGCATTTTACAGTATTTTATGTGATACTGTTTCAATTCATGTGAACTTGAGCTTTGTTGCTCGAGTTTAGCAGCAAGGAAAAAAAAACTTTCTGAAACCCACTAGAATGTATTTTTAAGGATCAATATGTTCAGTATATTTATCTCCTTTCTGTAGGAACCCCTTTGATAATGCAGTCATACAGCGCAGGAATGAGCCACCTCACCTATCTGTACCACGGGAAGAGTAAAGACTTTTAGAGTAATACCCCCCCAGAAAACATCCATGTTTGCACAAGCTCTAAATCTGGCACCAGTGGAGTCCCTCCACATTCCTTTCTTACCGTTTTAAGGGGAATTTAGCCCTTCCCCGTGGGTTTCCGCACTCGCGAGTGCAGTTGGTCCGTCAGGTGCCACGGCCGCCCCTCACCTCAGAGGAAAGGCGGCCAGCGCGGAGCGGACCTGTGTCCTCCATTTCGTGACACCGGGAGCCCACAGACCCTGGCCGGCTCCTGCGAGCCGTGGAGGGCGAGCGCTGCCAGGGAAGGATCGCCACTGACAGCTTCTCCCGCTCGCCTGGCTGAAGGGCGCTGAGAGTGCTGCCGGGGCGCTGCTGCGGCACCGCCCTGGCCCCTCTGTTGCCGCCATTTCGCGCGGCGGTGGTGGGAGGCGCTGTTGGCGAGGTGGGAGCGACTCAGCCGAGTTCTCTTTCCTTGCCGGGTCGGGGAATGAGCGCTGTGAGGTGGGGATGGCCCCTGGCCCTTCAGGGCACCTGGTGCACTGCTGGAAACTGAGCAGCTGTAATTGGTTTGGGTGGATACCCTGGAGGTTGTGACCGTCACTTGGCCCCTTGGAGGGAGCGCTGAGGTGAAATACAGGGGTGTGAGGAAACGATTTGGTTTTAGGAGGGAGATGAGAAGCAAAGCGGCTTCAAAACTGAGCAAACCCTCTTGTGGCCTGCAGTGTTTGTAGTAAGCTGTCTTAAAGTAGATGCATGAGAGGACTTTGCTTACAGCATTTGGCAAATATAAATGTGAATCAGTGGTCTGTGCTGCTCTGCAAATGCCTGCTCATCTCCCTGATTCTGCTATCTTGAATATGCATTTTTCCTGGGCTGTCATACCCCTGAAAGTATGGAAAAGACCCCTGGATTCGTGTCCATCTTGGACATGTGTTCCCCCACGTCATTATTATTGTTCTTTAATTTTTCTTCTTTTAAAAGTCTGAGAGACTTCTCACTATTTCTTGGCTGGGAATTTTGGGAGGGATGTCTCAGCTGACTGCCAGCAAGCAAGTGGATGAATGTAGAACTGCCCAAAGGAGTGATGTACCAGGGTTTTCCAGTCTCTTAGAATGACCTTGACATCTCTTACCGTTTTTATTTACATTATCAAGCAATTGGAATTAATACAGTCAGACAAAGAATAAATTATGCATAGAGAGTAGGGGCCTGAAGAGCTCTGGATATTAAGTATTGTATATAAAAGACTGTTCAAGGATGGGAATCCAGATTCTTTAAATGGAAGTTGGGTAATCATAGATTGACAATACCTAAGGTATGAAAAGCATTTCATACTGGTGTGCAGTGTTTGCAGCTCCTAGGAGCTGATGGAGCGGTGGTTATTCAGTTGGATAAGTGCTTAACACAGATACTACTACTTGAATAGCAACAACTTGATAGTACTAATGACAGATGCTTTCTGCTGATACTCAAGCCTAAGAACTCCTGCTTTGGATTACTGACGTTGAAAGTGTGTGAGCATGGTGGCAGATTAACCAGCTTTGTTAGATTTATGAATGTGATTTCTAAATTCTAGGTTTATTAGTATGAAGGAAAAGAGTGGCAAACCCTGGCAGTGGGGGGGTTGGCAGAAACTGGCAGAAGTGGTGGTGCTCAGAAAAGGAGTATGAAAGGGCATTGACAGATTTTAGGTTTTAGAACTTCAAACAAATCATCTTTGCTGTGCTCACAGACAGTTTAGATTACATGCTCTGTGTTGTGCTGGTACTGTGAAATGTTTTCTGGTTTCAATTCGAAACACTTCTCTGGAATATTTGAAGTTTTGCAGCTTCTGTAGAAGAAAAAATACTTTTTAAATGTTTGCTTCTCAGCTGACAGTATGCAGTAATTAAGTAAATCTGAATCCTATTTGCAAAGTGCTCTGAAGGACTTTGTTCATGTGTTACTAATGAGATGCTAGAGTACAAAAGAAGTGTTGCCTTTGGTGTATCTCTGCAGGTAAAGAAGATAGCTTTGCTTTGTTGTTTTATCACCAGATTTGGCCTTATATTGAGTTGTGTAAACTTTGTTGGTTTGATATTTTACCATTTGTTTCAGTGAAATTAAGATTTTTGAGTCATAAGTTTCTTTATTTGGTTTTTTTTTAGTGAGATCTTTGCTGTATAAAGTTGTTCTTAAAATTAAGAGCTCTGAAACTTCTCATCACAAATACATAAAGAAAACGTGCAGAGTTGATTATAATTGAAAAACACTTAACTGGAGTATTTTTAAAACTTGTATATGATCAATTTAGACATAACCTCTGGTCTTGATATTTCAGAACAAACCTGCTAACAACATTAAGGAGTTGGGCCCGTACTCCAGTTATCCAAGTAAGCAACTTGTACATGGGTTAGAAAAAATAATCTGATTTGCTTATAAATTGAAATGATTGTTGGGGTTTTTTTAGATATTAGAACTATTTTGTTTTGCAAAAATTGATGGAATATCTTCATAAAACAGATTGTATTTTTCTTTCAGAACAGAAACAATCTGGAAAAAAATAGTCTGCAGTTGTACAAGAGAATCTTAGCATTATTCTTAGAAACTAGATAACACAAATTTTATCTGCATCTTCACTGTTCAGCACTTTTCCCTCCTGACATATCAGTAGTGTAAAGATTGTTTAGGCTGCCCTACAGTATTTTTTGGTCATAAGTAATAGGATCCATATTTTATCAGGAGAGAGATTTTCTTTTTTTAGAAGAATTAAGGATGTAGGCAAGAGCTCTAAAAGAAAATAATCTAAACATAAAATATTGGCACTTATAGCTAATAAGATTTCTATTGCTTATACAGGTTCAATTCTAGTCACTTCAGTTTCACGGTTCCTTGTGTTGCCTTTTACAGATTAAGAAACTTCATATTTGATCTAAAAATGTTCAACTCTGCAAACATGGTCTTTTCACTGGATAATTTTTTTTATGAAAGACCAGATAAAAACCAAAGGTAAATCTTCATTGTTAAATATATATATAATTGTTTTCCACAGTCTGAATTGTTTTACAGAAGAATTATTTTTTTGTAACTCCCTTTTCTGTCTACCAACAGAAATGGGCCAGAAATTTTCAGGTTCATAACCCATACTTTGAAATGTTTTCCCAAGCACACTGAAGTTTGAATGGTGCAGGTGTGTCTTAGGTTATAAGAAATATAGGTTAGCAGAAGTTTTGCCTGTTAAATTTTTCTATGATTAAAAATCATACAAATTAAAAAATATCTTTTAGCAGGAGAAACAGTAGGTTGTTTATAATTAGTGATTTTGAACTAAATGTTGTGAAGGGTGTTTAAAAATGCTTTGACTTTACATTTGTTTGTAAAAAATAGGTATCTAGAAAATGAAGAGCCTAAGGTTTGGTGTATTACACCTGCTCCGTCTATTTCTGAAATTCCAGCTGCAGAAGAGTTGCAGAGGGAACTGGAAAAAAACACAGCCAACACTCATAAAGGTAAAATATCATACAATAAAATGATAGAATCATTTATGTTGGAAAAGACTTTGAAGATCATGGAGTCCAACCATAAACCTAACCTTACCAAGTCTTGCTAAGCTATATTTGACGTTCATTTTTAATGGTTTAAGAAATTATTAGCTTTACAGATAATTCCTCCTCTCTTTTCTATTGCTGTGAAATATGGAATATTCTAGCTATGTAAATGCAGACAAAGAATGTATTTTAGTTGAGGGTGAGGATCTTACATATATTCGGAGTGTTAGCAATCATCTTTGGGCGTATACAAGCTGCATGTTTACTGTTCAGAAGTGGGCAAGGTAAGAAGTATGATCAAAATTTCAGCTACTCTGCATTGTTCCATGAACACGGTGGAAAGCAGCTGTAAGAGCATAATGCACACATGGATCTGATAACCTGTCTCCCACCCAAGGAAGAGAGATACTGCTTGAACCTAACTTTCTTCCCTTTTGTGGCTTTTTTTTTTTTTCAAATTGCTGTTCAGGAGACCAAGTTTGAATCTGGCCATTGCTTTCCGCTAAGTGAGGTATTCCTTCCATCTGGACATTGAGGATCACCTTAAGGAAATTTATTTTCAAGAATTTGGTTGCTTTACCTCTGTCAACTAGATTTCTGCATTTCTCAGCTGCTGTGCTGATTTATGATAGTCTCTGTTTAGGAGTTATATTGTTAAGACAGAAGGGGTTTTTTTCCTAGTTTCTAGATGGGTAATACTGAAATTAATAGGCTGTGTAATACAGCTGTTCTGTAATCTTGTTGCATTCAATTGCTCATTTCTGCTTTCCTTCTGCTGACAGAAATGCTTGTTTGGGCATCTGTATCAGGACACAGATCCTACTGAGAGCTAACCTTTCAAAATGTGATAATTAACCAAGATGGCTCTAAAACCATCAATATGAATTTTGACTTTTGAGATTGCAGGCTTTATCTCATGGCTGTTTGTAGTAGGAGCTTCAAGCTTGGTCTCTGTCAGCTTTTTTAAAGACCATCTTTATTCTGGGACAGGGTGGAGAGTTTCAATCTTACAAACTGCTTTGTAGTTCTGAGGAATAGTTTTGCTCCATTAGTTTGTATATAAGGCATAGAAAGTGACCATGTTTTTAATAACTTTTTAATTAACAACATGCATTGCATTCATCAGTATGAGTCATAAAATATGCACTAAATTTCTTGCAATAAAATAGAAATATCAGTTCATGTAAGAGACATGAATTTGTCTTATTCTGTGTGGAAAATATTTACTAATATGAGTATGAATAGGAAGTTGAATATTAATAGGCGTACTAATCTATTGTTTTTACAGGAGAGAGAAAACATAAGAAGTTTATACAACAATGTAAGAGTACCTATGAGGAAGGACATGATACAGCACCAGCACCAGCTCAGTTTGGCATAGCCTCTGAAAAAGAAGTGCTCCAATTTAGTGTAGGAGAAAGAGAGAAAATTAGTTTTTGTCCTGAAAGTCTGAAAATAGTTTCATTGTTTCTCTGTTCTGACGAAAATAAAACAGGAACAGGGGTTTCTCATCCACCTGGTGCAAATTTTTCACAAAACAAAAGAGAAAGTAATTTTCCGGAAAACAGTGATGATGATGACGAGAGTGCCCATTCAACATTAAGAAAAAAGTATGTGTCTAGTCAAGTCTGATCATTTGTCCGCTGTCAGAATCATATTACTCTTTTAGACAAGTTTGTTAAACAGAGAGCTTTGCATCCTTCAATTGAAGGTATATAAACAGGATTCCAGTCACTAGTTCTTTTCAGTATAAGGAAGAAAGATGTTTCCTTTTGTCAGTGTTTCAGTACTGTAATTAAATGTGTCCTGAGCTCATCCTCTTTTATAAGAAAAGTAAGGATGAAGTTTGTTGCTTTAATTTTAAAGAAATTGTTAGATAACAAAGGATTTTCAAAATACTATTTTGAGTTCTTTATTGACATGGTAATGAGCAACACATTTCAGAGCAGAGGTCTGCCAGCCAGGAATACCTTGATCAGTTCTCAACATGTGCTTCAGTGCTTCCTGGGAGGAGAGGTTTTACAGATAAACTCATCTTCTGCCCAGCTCTTCTGATTGCTCAGAACCTGTGTGTTTCTATTGTTCCTAATTATGCAGAGATTGACAGTTAATCTCTCATTGCGATTCAGAGCTCATCTGGACAAGCATTAATTTGGGTTCTTTCTGGAATGAAAGTAAAGTTAAAACGTATCTTGAAAGGAGTCTTCTTCAGGTAGAAGGGTGTCATTAACTAAAGTTAGAGACAAACTTTTCTTATGGATGTATCTTACTAATTCTGCTTCTGATACAAATAGACGTAATTTTAAAATGTTAGAGAAACTGTGTAACGTTACAACAAACTAATGAAATTCTTGATCTTTTTCAGCTTATTTAAAATGCCTGGTTATATGCACACAAAAACAGAATTGAAAGATAGTTATGTTGATGTGAAAGGAGTTGATACTTACTTAAATACAACTGAAAACATGAAAGAAGTAAAAAAAGAAGATTTATGGAGAAATAATCATCATTCCTCAATAACTGAAGACTCAGATTTAACTCTGTGTAGGGTAAATAATGGGAACATTGCATCTAAAAATGGAATGAATATGAAATCATTTCCTAATGCTTCAGAGATTCTGGATATGACAGGTGACTATTATTACTCTTTCAAGAAAAGTAGTCCACTGTCTGTCTTTGGTATGTAATAGTAAGGGATATCCATGATCTCAGGTAGAGTGAAGAACATTTTCCCACCAGCTCAGGGTGAGATAATTGGCTCAACCTGGAAGAATATACAGCATTTTTAGGTGACTTAATTGCATTGGGTTTTAATATGAGCTGGGTAAACACTTTAAGAAGAAAAGTCACATTTTCAAAAGTGCCAAGTCATTTTGAAAATGTCACTCCAAATCAGTCCCCTAAATTTGAGAAAGAGCAGCCTCATTCCTTCATGTGGTAAATAGTCTCATCTTCATTTGAAAATGGAATGTTTCTTTGTGATGTGGTTTACGTCTAGATTATAAGCTTTTTGGGACAGGGACTCATTGTGTCTGTAGAATGTACCTTGTGTACCTGGTTAACTCCTGCAGAAATACAGAATACAAAAATAGTTCTAGCAGAAAACTGTAGGGCAGAGCTGTGGCTTAGGATGGGATTTGGAAGCTGGTCAGGAGTGGAAAACATCATTCCTCTCTGCCTTCTGAGCAATGGTGACTAGCTTTGTGTATGAGTGGAGGAAAGTGGATGTCATGTACTTTGACTTAAGTATGACTTTTCATAGACTCATAGAATGGCTGAGAAGCACTGTCTTCCACAACATTCTCGTATCTGAGTTAGGACTCAGGATTAGCAATGGATGTACAACTGCATGGGTAGAATAATGGTTGAATGGTCGGGCTCAGAAGTGAGTGTTAACAGGTCACATATTGCCCACATGCTGGCTGCAACTGCAGGGGTCTGTTGTGGGGGAGGGGACTGCTAGTGATCTCATGAAATTCAGTAGGAACAAATGCAAAGTCCTGCCCCTGGGAAGGAGAAGAACTTCTGTGGGTTCCCTGGGATGGACTGACTGGGTGCAGCTCTGTGGAAAATGCTGGGGTCTGGCAAGCAGCTCTCTGAACATCGGCCAGCAGCATCCCAGCAGTAACACAGGCCTACAGCATCCTGGGCTTTGTTAACAGGAGCAGAGCCAGGAAAGTTGAGGGAAGTGATTATCCCCTTCTTGGCACTTTTGAGACTGGATCTAAATACTGCACAAAGTTTTGAGCCTCTGGTACAGGCAAGACATCCTTAAACTAGAGTGGGTTCAGCAAAGGGCCACCAAGATGGTCTTTCCAGATGATGAGCTTATGACCTCTTTGTCCTGTCCTCTCAGCAACTTCTGTAAAACCTGGACCTTGTTATAGCCTTGTAGTGCCTCACAGAACACACAGCTTGGGGTCAGGAATGTACTTTTCATGGGTATTGGTTGAAAACAAATCTGATTTTTTGTACATTTACTACTTATATTTCTTTAGGAGTTACAGGAAGAAAATTGGAAATTTTGAGGGCCGTTACAGAAATACGTATCCTTCTATTTGCTGTATCTGATTTACTGATTTTAATACAATGCTTTTTACATTTACAAAATTACAGTTTTAATTTGTAGCCATAGGCACTCTTGCATTACACTGTAATAGTTTTGATTTGTAACATAATGCTGGGAATCAAATGATGAATAGGTGTTTACCCTTTGGACTTCCAGAGCTAGCAGGAAAATAGGACAACTTACGGCTCATTCATTGCTAAGCAAATTTATTCTTATTTCAAACATTTGAAATTTATCCTCAAAACCGTTTATTTTTATAATGTAAAATTTTTTGTTTGCACAATATATATATTTCAGGCAAGTTTTTATATGCAAACATGTACATCCCCATATACTTTAAATAAAGGAAGAGTAAATTATTATTTACGCTTATTAGGAAAACCGAATTTTTTTTTTTCCCATTTTCTCAGGAGAAAATAAACTTCACCTGCTCCTTATAGGTCTGTATTTATGTTGTAGTGTGCATAAAGTGTATTTCCATTCTTTAAGCAGGTTTCACAATAATTTTCCTTCTTGGCCCTGCCTTGAACCCATAACACAATTAACCATCCATCTCTAGATGTCAGTTTACTTCTTTTTCTGTTTTTACATTGTCTCATCAATATTTTGTTTCTAGTAAGCTGTCAAATGGTACGTTAAATAGCAGGAAGAGGAAATATCTAAATTTAGGCAACTTAAATTCATGTGAATAGCTTTAAGAAGTGTCATAATTTCCAAAATTAACAAAGACTCAGTTGGTCTGAATTTGCCGTAGTGAATGTTCTTCATTTTGAAAATACAACACGTACTTAAGGAATTTTAGAGAAGTTTTTTAAAAAAATCCTTATTTTATTTAGTGTAACACTTGCTTATCTTCACCCATTTTTAATGGTTATACTTAACTGCTTTTGTTTCATGTTCTACTCCATTTCTTTTTCATCTTTATTTAGTCTCTGAATGTAACATAAATCTGAGGCCTCAGCAGTTCATTGTTCTTGTTATTGGAGGTGTTATGTCTGACTGTGTGTGCATCCGCAGCCTGATCAGATGGTACAGTTAGCCTGCTTGTGGCTTCAATGCAAGTCCAGACAAGGATCAACTCACTTACTGGATGTGTAATGTAACAATGCTCTCTTTTCCTCTTAATCATTTTTGAGATAAGAATGTTGTTGTTTGATGAATACATGATATTAGACACTGGAAAATATCTGTAAAACCACTGATGTAGGTGAATTTTCTTTGCTACTGTTATGACCAGACAGACAAGATTATGCCGATTAATTTTTGCTATAGTACAGATATAATGTGACCATTGACACGTTAGATATGCAAACAGCAGTACTTTACTTCTTGTGTCTGGTTTGCAGTGTAGAATAAAGCTTTTATCGCTTACAGTTTCACTCTCCATAATTGTATGCCATTCCAGGAAGCCTATGCCAGGGAGCAGGTTCTTGATTATTGGTATAATCCTGAGACCTCTCAAATAGGTAGTGGATTTTTTTGGCAAAGTGGAATTATATGGCACACCAAGAATTTAAATAAAACTACTAAATAGTTTAATAGGTTGCCCTTTGGTAAACTTTCCCAAGCCTGTATCAGTGAAAGATTGTTGCATATGTTTTGGTTTGCATTTAAATTATAAGAAAGATATTAATTTATAGTTCTAAAATAAATTTTGTGACTTTCAACTGTTTTAAAGTCCTTAATGCTGTCAAGCAACCCAATTTAGGAGTATTTTTAAGGAGTTCCCATATTTCAACTATGCACAGTCTAAAGCTTTGGATGATGTAAGTATGAAACATTAGATGCAGTACAGAGTAATACTTAGTAGATAAATTTAAAAGGGGTTAAAGTAGATAACTTAAAGGGGTTAGAAAAAGTAGATAACTTAAAAGGGGTTAGAAAACTGTGATGTATCTAGAACCTCTACTGGAATAGTTGAGCAGGGTTGTGCTTAGCTGGGAGAAGGGACCAGAAGAGCTTTTAAATAATGTTGTTGTCAGTTTTAAATAAATTTGTGTGAAGATGTGAATTCGGTGTGGATTTCTGCATACAGATTAGTAATATTTTTAAAGTTATTTTCATAGGAAGATTAAGAAAAGCAGAACTTTAGAGAAAGTTTTACTTTTGGAAAAGTGATGTTTATCCATCACCTCTTGTATCAGCTATGCTTTCTTTAAAACCAAAACTTCTTTTGAAAGGGACCAGATAAAGACTGTATTATAGGTATTGCAGAGAGGAGATACATGATCCATCAGTCTTCATCACAGCATTTGAAATCGTTATTCAACACTAGGGGGAATCCAGTGTCATTTACAAGCATTTATAAGCATGTGTTTTTCAAGCTACTTTTGATGTTGCAAATGTTTTAATTTCTTATCCACTAATTATAAAGTGAAGTCTTTAAGAATGGTATTTTTATGAGCAGAATAATCTTGTATTAAAATTATACAAGGAGTTATTATACAAGCTTTCCACCCCCCTACATTTTTAGTTCTATGCATAAATTTGGGTTATTTTTTGCTTACTTCCAAATTTGCATTTATTTGCTGAGGAGAGCTATACATCATATTGGCCTGTAAAATAATCTTGTGTGACTGTCCCTAGAATAATGGGAAACAGCATGTAATCAAGATTTACTTTCACGGAAGTTGCAAAAACAGGGAAATAGTTTTAGTTTCCAGGGAAACAGTTTTAAAAACTTAACATTCTATTAAAATGATAGCTATTAAAATTATACATATTCAACACTGTTGCAATTTTGACTGCAGTTTGCATTACAGAATGCAAACAAATTGCACTTGGAATTTGAGCACAAAATACCTCTTTCTGATGAGCCTATGTTTGGTTCCAGTCGGATGTTGGCAGTGATTCTGTTTTAATGTAATATAAAGCTAGACACTGCTTCTTTTGTTTGCTGCAGAATGGTAAACTTCATTCCATAATAACCTTAAGATGAACAGCATCTCATTTATGGTTCCGTGGCAGGTGTGTGGCAGAAGATGATGTTCTTGTGCTGTAACATAAAGTTCACAGCTAATGCAAACATTTTTAGAGGAGTACATATGTCAATGTAATAATAATTTCCCTGTGTGTTTTTTCCCTAACAGTGCTTTTGGAATGTATGAATAGGTACAATGGATAGCTGTGTTATATTTACTACTTTGCAATTCTTTCCTAGCTTCTGTATACGGATAGGAATTTTGTGATTTGTGCTCCGACTGGCTCTGGAAAAACTGTAATGTTTGAGCTAGCTATTACCAGATTACTCATGGAAGCCCCACTGCCTTGGCTAAATATTAAGGTTGTTTACAGTAAGTATTATGCAGCTTTAAGCCTTTTGGTAACAGCAGTAGAAAATGTCATTCTCTGTTGTGGAGATCTAGAGTGACTGCTTGAATTATATGGAAATTAAATATGTTAAGAAATTGTGGCCTACCTTATTCTTTAAGTAGTTGTTTGTTTTAGGGTTTGTTTCTGTGTGATACCATTGTAACTCTTACTAGTGTTTAACAGCACTGTATAATTGTAGTGTTCAGCATTGCCTATACAAATAAAAATAAAGAAATCTTGTGAAGAGTTTGTCATCTAGGAAGGCAAGATAGACACTAAAAGGGAAGAAGAAAGCAAAGAAAACTAAAATTCTTACTGGCAGATGCCTGCTTGTTGCTCTAAGATGAGGATCAAATCTTCCATTTTTATTTACCTGTCAGGGTTTCTGTTTAGTAGTTCAAAGGTAACAAAGCTATGATCTTTGAGTTTAATTGATCTGTGTAGGAACTAATGAAAATACTTGAGAATAGTCACAACCATTAACACCTTTTATTTTTTTTCCTTTCTGGAGAATTGAATTCATAACACGTAAATCAGGTGAAATTGGTGGCTTTGTCCCAGTTTTAATTAATTCATACAGTGATATATTTGTCAGTCTTCTATTAATGGTTAATCTTTATATTTACAAAAGTTTCAGCTTAATGTATTTATCTTAATTCCAAAGTGTTCAAGTTCTTACAATAAAGCTAGTGTAGAATTTACTGTGTATTTTAAACAGAAGGTGTACAAGCAGGCATGTATTACAGTTTCTCTGTCAGCGTATCGAGGTGAAACATTTCAGTGAACTGTAATGGTTTTGATTGCCTTGGTAGAACTGATACAAATTGTCCGGTTGGAACTTCAGTAAGGAAGCCAGTTACCTGCTGGTGGAATTAGATCTGCTGACTTTTCCAGGTTTGACAGTGGTGGAGAAAGAGATCTAGTTTTCCAAATGTTGGAACAGGGGTGTTAATCAGATTCTGTACTGCCAGAGCATGCTGTGATACCTACTTCATCAGTGGCCCAATCTATATGAAATAGCTTGCAGTAGTTTTGTAAATTAGAGTGGTTTCCTGTAAGCGGCGAGGAGAAGCAGACAGGCCAACCCAATATGGGTGATAAGCAACTTCTCGTTTATTTGTGACGCAGTTCACACATATATAGGAGTGGTATTCAGCCACTCCTTCTTGGCATAACAGTATTGGTTAGCCCCCACAGCTTCCTCCACATTCTCCTCCCAGGTCTGGTCTCCGGCCACCTGTGGGGGCCACCCCCTGCCTTGCTTGCACAGTCCTCCAGAACTCAATGGTTCTGCTCTTAGAGTCATTCTGCAACAGTTTCCCAAGAGCTTTAACACATGCTGAGGATTGGTGACTGAAGTCACCAGAGCAAGCATAAGCTTCTTGTATTCTTCCACAGCAAAAGATCATTACTTTTGCAATTTTGAGTTACTTTCTCATAGCTTAATCTGTTTTCTGGAGCTGGTGATTTCCCTGCTTTATAGACCACTGATGACATGAGATTTTATACCTCTTTCTGAAGCAGAAACTGGTTCTTTAAATCTCTTCATTTTGGGAATCACTTGTCAACTGGTATGATGCTGATGGGTCATATTCCAGTTGCTCTAAATAGCCTAGTATGTGATCACTGCAAGATCTATTTTATTACTGCTGTTTTCAGATCATGTGTAGATCACTTCTTTTACTTAAATCACTGCATTTTCTGTATAGATTACCCATCCAATATAGACTTACATGTGTTGCTGGTATTAGTCTGTCTAGAGAATTACTTCTGATTTCTAGGAATCAACTTCCATCTGCAAAACATAGTAAGTGTCCAGTGGAAAAAAAATATTATGAAGAAATAGGTTGTTCTAGGAGTCTGTTTTTATAAGGCCCAGCATCAGAACTGCTACCTGCCACGTTAGTTGCTACTTGCTTTGTTAGCTGCTTGGTGCTGACTGCGTTTAACTGTACATCTGGTTTAGATAGACTTTGATTTTTTTTCTAGCATACTGTCTCTTGCTCATGGATAGTTTCCCACTTATGACCCTTTTCCTCTCTGAATACAGAGTGTTCAAATCATTCTGAACTGGCAAAAGGTTGGTATTTGTATGATCTTCTCTTGGAAAAGATGTCTTTCCTGTGGTTTCTTCCATGTGTGAGAAAACCTTTGGTAGCTGAGTAATTGTTTCCATGTGGGACTGAGGAAAAAATTAGGATTAAGAAAGGGCATAAATAACTGTAGTAAAAGGGTTCTATTTCTGATTGCTGATGGGGAAGAACTGGGGACCAAAGCTCAACACCAATTTGTGCACATGGAATAGAATAATAAAGTTAATCAGTTACAAATTTTATGGTTCTGGGAGCAAAGCTGAAAATTAGGGAAATTAGATTCAAGAAGACATCTTAAAAATCTATGCATTTAGCATCTTTAGCAATACAGTTGAAGCTTTGGTTTACCTGATATAACACTGATTATTTTGTGTTGGTTTTAGTGGCTCCAATAAAAGCTCTGTGCAGTCAGCGTTTTGATGGTTGGAAAGAAAAATTCGGACCTATAGGACTCAGCTGCAAGGAACTGACAGGAGATACAATGGTGGATGACTTATTTGAAATACATCACGCTGACATTATTATTACTACACCTGTAGGTTTCAGTCTCAACTCTTACCAAAAATTAGAATAAGCAGACAGTAGTAGTCTACTCATTGTATTCTAGTAGGACTGCTCTTTTTTTATGATCCTTATACTTGCTCACACACTGCTGTGCATACTATTAGTTCATAGAAACAACAGCTAGTAATATAATCATGTGCCAGATGAAACAAACATGGCATTAGCTTGAATTAAACTGATTTTGTTTCAAGACTAATTGAAGTTTGGGCATGTCTGCCTGTACTGTACTTTTGGCATATGTTGGCCTTTCAAGCATCTTTTGCCTTTTGTTGTTACGGTTTTTTTTTCTCCTAGGAAAAATGGGATAGTATGACTAGAAGGTGGAGAGACAACTCTGTAGTCCAGCTTGTACGACTGTTTCTCATTGATGAGGTAAGAAAATTAATGTTTCATGTGCACTGTTTTTTTTTCTTGAAGATAAAAGGAACTTAAAAATATAACATTTATTTAACACATGTATAGATTGTAACTGGAGAAGTATTTAGCAAATCTTTTAAAATTCCTAATAGGTGCATGTTATAAAGGATGAAAGCCGTGGTGCAACATTAGAAGTGGTAGTCAGTCGGATGAAGACTGTTCAGTCTTCTCTTTGGCATCTTTTTGAGAATCATGACACTGTTCCTCCCTTGAGATTTGTAGCTGTTTCTGCAACAATCCCAAATGCTGAAGATGTAAGAGCTACATTTTAACTTTGAGTTAATGTAGTTGTATTTTATAAAACTTATCTGGACTAATAAATTCAGATTGATAACAGAGTTGTATCATTTTGAAGCTGTCACCTGAAGGCACCTGTGAGGTAGATGTTAATGTACCACAGGACCTACAACCATATGGAATTATTAGCCAAGTATGGACATGCTTCAGTTTTAGATTTGTGATTTTTGTCTTTAAGTACAACTCGCAACTGACTTGAGATTTCAGTACAAGTTATATTGGTCCTGTAGATAGCAGCGATTCACCTGTGTTTTTAATGATAAAAGCAATGTCAAGTGTATTAATAGTTTACATGTGACAAAAGCTAAGTTAATTATTGTGTGATGCAGTTAGAGCACAGGGAGATTAAAAGCAGAAATTTTTCATTTCTGTTCTATTTCTTCTTTTCACAGATTGCAGAATGGCTTTCAGATAGTAAGATGCCAGCTGTATGCCTGAAAATAGATGAGGATCAACGACCAGTCAAGCTACGCAAAATTGTTCTTGGTTTTCCATGCAGTGACAATCAGACAGAATTCAAATTTGACTTAACTCTTAACTACAAGATAGCTAGTATTATACAAGCATACTCAGAACAAAAACCAGCACTTGTGGTATAACAGCTTTTCCCTTCATCACATTTGAAACTATTTCTTTCTTTTAAAGTGTTGATTAAAAAAAAAACCTTTTATTTACAGTTTTGTGCCACAAGAAAAGGAGTGCAACAGGCTGCTTCTGTTCTTGCAAAAGATGCTAAATTTCTACTGAGTGGAGAACAGAAACAAAGGTATTTGTATGTTGAGTTGTTAATAAGTGTTTGTGTGTTCTAGTAAACCTGTGACTTCTGTGAAGAAAGCTTTTGAACTAATACAGTTTCTAGCAGAAGAGTGTCTGCAACAAAATCATCCTCACAGTTGATTCTTTTTGGTAAACTGGCACTTCTTGGGAAGTTTTATTTGCTTCTCGGATGTTTAGTGTACTTCATACAAGCATTCAGTTATTTCTAAAAGCTGCCTTCTAAGTATACAGATGTTAATTGCTATGGACCTATAAAGCCTTGTATTGCAAAGGTTAAGCATTTGAATAGTTGAATTGGATGTGGTCTTAACTAGTGTTTTAAGTTAAGCTGTAAGAAGTCTTTGCATTATCATGAACCTTTAATAAATGCAGCCCTGACCCATATTAGTTATTATTTACTTCAGGGTTGCTTAGTCCTGGAAGCTGCAGGAGCTACTTCCTGATTTTGGACCTCAGACATAGTCTTCTTTGTGTTATGTGAACAACATCTAGATTGTACGTTGTGACGTGGAAAGATAACTGACCTGGAAAGGCTGCAGCAGCTCCCCCAGAGAGTCAGTTTTGTTCCCTTTGCAAAGATGGGAAAGGTGGTGGTTGAAAATATCCAAAGAATATATTCTTTAAATGTTATTTTAAGACTATGTCCTTTTGATAGTCTAGCATGTAATTGGAAACTGTGAACATCCTTAAAAAGCACAAATGCAGTAGAAGTATGGGAAAGTATGTAAAAAATGTACATGTCAAGGCATACATCTCACAATCTTTAGGCGAGGTAATGGTGTATCTAGTTTCATGTGAAGCTTTATTTTTGCATTTTAAAAACATACTTAGTCTTTGTATATTGCATTGAGATTAGTGAATGTGGTTTGTGATTTTAAGTATTTGGGTTTTTCTATGTGTGTTGCATAGATTACAGAAGTCTGCAAATTCGCTGAAAGATTCCAAACTGAGAGGTAAATATAACCTACTACTTCTTTGCTTCGTGAATGAATACTTGCTTGAGTAGTATTATTTCATAACTGTAATTATTATTATAATTATTTTACTATCAGATCTTTTAATGTATGGTGTGGCTTATCATCATGCGGGCATGGAGTTATCTGACAGAAAAATAATTGAAGGAGCCTTTACTGCAGGAGACTTACCAGTACTTTGTAAGTAAATGTAACTTTGAAAGTCAAAATGCTGTTAATGTATCCCGAGAGGACTGCAGTTTGGAAGTGGTAATATTTTATGATTCTACGGTTTGTTTAACCTTTGGAATTATTACTTTGTGAAATCCAGATAAAGAGGTGTTTGTGTTTTAGATACACTTTCACCCTGTGAGTATGCATACACACTGTTACTAAAGACTATAGAACTTTTCTTCTTTACAGCATACATAGAGGTCATCCTTCCTCATATGTCTATATAGGTCTGCCAATGTCCAGTTCCTTTTCATACCACTGAGCCATCCTGTTGAGGTGAAACTCTCTGCTAGTGTGTCTTGCCCCAGAGTTCATATGTTTTTTGTTTGTGTCCTTTGCAGCAGTGATACATGTTAAAATACAGTCATAAAGGTAATCCTTTAGGTTTATGCTTCTTAGAGTGACAGGCTACTGTGTTCAAACTCCCATGCAAGGTGTTTTGACTGATGGGGAGGTTCCTCAGTATTCCATCTGCTGTTACCCAAGATGAGAAGGTACCTGTTTGAGTCATGATGCTTTCATTTCATCCAGGCTTTCTTTTTCTGTAAAAAAAATTCAGACCCTCTGGGAGTTGTCTGTGTGGTTCTTGCACAACACTGAAAGATTCATGGATTTTTTTCTTTTCTACCCAATGGTCATGGCTCACTATGAAAATTTAAGGTACATACCCTTACTTTGACCTGGCAACCTTGCTGGAGTTGCAGTGTCCATGACATTAAAAAGTCTCTGCATCCCTGCAATCTACTGTACTTTGGCTGCCTGGTGCACTGCGTATGGCTTTGCCAACTGCAGTGCCATTTCTGCATTCTCAGGAGACTGGTTCGACAATTGCTTTTTGCAAAAATAACTCTGAAAACCTGTGCCACAGCTGAGCACACCATGAAGGTGTATGTAGGCTACCACTGAAAGAATGCAAGGTTGCTGACTGGTACTTTAGTCATTTGAAATTTGTAGTTTGTATGAATATTTTGGAATCTTCTGAGATACTAGAATTACATTACTACAACTGAGGGGAAACTGAAAGAGTATGGGGCATATTCCACTTTATATATCTGACGGAGAGTTTTAAACACACCTTTCACAGATACTGCAAAGGGGAAAAATTCTTTGGTCTTGAAATAGAGTGTATGTATACTCACAGTGTGTGTGTGCATACATGTATATATAAACATACACCTATATGGACTGAAGTCTGATTGCACTGTAAATAACCTCTCTTTGGACTTTTTTATGGTTAGCTCATTTTGCTTTGACAAATATCCCATTTTGCAACCAACACAGTATGACAAAACATAATACATAATACTCTCACACGATGGGGTGGATATGTCTTTAAACTAAAGTTTTCCTTCCTGATGCACCTGAATTTTAGTTCTGCTTTTATTTCAGAAAAGAACTGAAAAATTCATTGCTATTTTGTTTTCCTAGAGCAGTAGTTTTATCATTTGGCTTTTATAGGTATTTTTCCATGTTCAATTCCTGCCACCCCATATATTTGTTAGAGAAAGTGAATTAGAAAACATGAGTGTGAGAGAATTTGCCACAAACTTGACTGGGGTTTTCTGTGTGAGAGTGTGTATTGGTAAAGTAGTGTGATAGTATTGGTGGTGATTCTGGTTTGGTACCATGGTTATGAAGGTGCTAATGACTGATCACTTAAAATACCTTAAAGAGATTGGTCACTACAAGGCAAGATGTAGTCAGGCCTGTATTCAAATATCTATCAAGAAATATGAATAATGTTTCTTCAATGTGTATGTGTCATATTGAAGATGGATTGGATTCTGGATTATCTCCAAATGTTAAGGAATGTTTAAATAAAAATATCTAGGATGTAATTTGTTAAAGATTGTTGTGCAGTGTCTGCAATCTGTGTCTAAGTCTTTGTGGTGCAGAATGCCCACTGCCTTCACTAGAAAATAAGAGCTCTTAGGAATCAAGAGTTAATCACTTATTTGCTGCTTTTGGATGTTTTTCGTCTTGCGATCCATATACTTTAATCTGATGTAGTTACTACCAGCACCTTAGCAATGGGAGTCAATCTACCTGCACATCTGGTGGTTATAAAATCCACAATGCACTATGTTGGAGGAGTGTTCCAAGAGTACAGTGAAACTGACATTCTGCAAATGATTGGGAGAGCAGGAAGGCCTCAAGTAAGTTAATGCTATATTAAATTGATGTTATATATGAGTGGATCAGTAGAAACTATTCATGGCAAAGAAACTACAACACCAACAATCTTACTGCAATATTTGGGTTTTAAAGGGTTGTTATTAATAGTTAAATTACTGTTGGGTAACTTCATAAAGGAATTCTGTTTTCTTTTGTATTGTTCACTAAAATGTACTGCTTCACCTTGCTCTGGAAGAAGATCTAAAGATCACATTTGGGTTACATAATGAATAAGGAGTAGAGAAAAAGTAGGAGGCTGGCATACAACTTACAAATGACATGATAAAGATTGTGTAACATTGAATAGTATTGAATAATAGCATGGAGAGCCATGTGCTTTTGTTCTCTCAACATCAGACTAAGAAAACATATAATTAAGTTATATGTGGAATTAGAAGGGGAGGGTCAGAAACAGTGCCTTCAAAGAGTTCTAATTCATTTTGCTTCCACAAGAGGTTGCTGATGCCAAGCATGCTGTGTGTTAGAAAGGCTTTAGACATTTCTTTAGTTGTAAAAAGGAAGAGGGGGGTGGGATTTAAAAATGATTATTTTAATTTTGCCTCTTTCAAGTCTTCAAATCGTTTATGTTAAATCTTACACTTTTAAGCCTCTCAATATTTAGAATAAAGATAGATAAACAGATAGCTAGATAGAGCCAATATAAAGCCTAATACAGGAGATAGTTAGGAGATAGGCTGCGTATATTAGCCACTGTGGTATGTTGTGTACATGACACAACAGTATATTATCTGGACATAAGATCTAAACTAGTATGGAAATGCCAATAATCCTCACTTTCTTAACTGATTGGGTTTGGGGTTTTTTTGCTAGAGTAAATTCAGTAAGATTTTAAAAGTTGTGACTCAGAATCCTAAGGCATTTCAACTTCCTGAGTCAAGACCTGAAATATTTACCAAGATCTGCCTTATAGTAGTACATATATTAATCTGATCTTAAAAAAATGCAGACATTAGGAAACTTCTTGTATCAAAAAAAACCCCAACAAATCAGTCTAATAGTATTTTTTTCCCCTCACAAAACAAAATAATGTGAGGTGGTTTGAGAGTAGATATGAAGATTACAGAAATTTACCATAAAAGGGTTGACTGTTCTTTCAAGACTTCCTGATGTTTGGAGATGATGAATAAAAATTTGTGTCAGAGAATTATTCTCTGTGGTTGTGGTCAGGAATCCTTTCTTAGCTGTGGACCTTGTAAGAAGGTCATTAATAGTTCACATTTGTGGTGTTTCTCAACATGTTTCTGTTATGTACATTAGCACATAAGGGCTGGTGTCTGCCAGCCAGCAAGGGCTGGAATCCAGAGTCCTGCTTGCTACCCACAGGAGTTGTAACTCACCTTTAAATTAGAGAGACCTTGTCATTCAACAGCCATTTCAACAAGGATTTTAAGAAAACAGTTTTAAGGTTTTCAACACATATGTGATGCATATTCAACTGAAATTTCTTTGCTAAGAGCTAAAGAGCAGGTTTTGTTGTCTTATTTCTCAGTTTGACACTACAGCTACAGCAGTTATTATGACTCGTTGGAGCACAAGGGAAAAGTATATGCAGATGTTAAATGGTGCCGATATAATAGAGAGCAGGTAAGTAAACATTTTTTATAAGACTATATAGATGGTAGCAATGTCTCATAGTTTCTACAGAATGTGTAGAAAGTAATGTAAGAAATGTAATCAAATCAAGCTATACAGAAATTAACAGCCTCTGTTTTATTACCTAAAAACATCTTTTGAACATCTTAAACTAAACAAAAATGTTGTAGATTTCTGCTGGAAAACTGAAGAAACTGAAATAGTACATGTTGCAAAGACAAAAAGCAAGAACTGAACCAAGATCGTGTCTCTGAATTTTTAGATTATAGAGTCTGGATAATACCAGGCTACAGAATTCTCTTGACATGAACAGAGTATCAAGAGAAACATGTAGGAAAGTTAAGACTTTGAAGGGTTAAACATGAAATTTTGCTAAGGTTTAAATTTTCAAATATATTCAAAATACCAACACTGTGCTGTGACTTTTAAATGTATTTGAACTTTTAAGGCTTTATTTTCTAAAGAATGTGGAACTTTACAGTTGACAGGGTTTTTATTTTTGCTTGATGGACATTAAGCCATAATAACCAGATTACATTGTTATTTACATATTCTTTACAGTGTTCTGTTGATTTTGCTGCTTAAGGTGACAGTTGACAGGAAAACAAAAAATAAAACGAACCCAGAAAATTGTTGTGAGCTGGGGAGCGTTTTGTTTTCTTTTGGGCACTTTTTGTACTACTAATTGGTAAACGTACTTACCATTTACTTTTTTGTTTCACTAGCTTGCACAGACATCTTGTTGAGCACTTGAATGCAGAAATAGTGCTGCGTACTGTCACGGATGTCACTGTAGCTTTGCAGTGGATACGATCAACATTCTTGTACATCAGAGCCTTAAAAAATCCAACTCATTATGGTTTGTTGGTTGTTTTTTTAATTTGTCTAAGTTATGACACTAGTATGTGTTAGATCCGTGTTGTTTCTTTCAGTTCTTTATGCACTACTATTTCATAAGGGCTTCAAAACAAGATGTGTAATATGGCTTGTGACTTTTTGGGAACAGTTTCAGCTGCTTTAATAGAAGTAATAGGAGTTTCAGTATGGTATATCATTAAAAAACTATGAAAAAGGCATTTACAGCTTCTCAATGATCTGTTTCTTTTGAAATTAATACACTTTACTATGTATTAATGCAATATTGAGCCACAATGTACTTTTCAGCGCTGATTAGATAATGTGCTGCTAAAAAAAAAAAAAAAACCAAAAAAAAACTATCTAATTTTTAATAGTTTTTCTGAAATTAAAGATTAACTGATGTCCTCAGTTTGTCTTGCCCAGAACAGCCCCTTAGTCCCCAGCCCTGACCATGTCTTTGTTCCTGGTCACTTGCTCTACACCTGATTATGAAGTGTCCTGGTTTTGTTGCATTCGGGTCATTGGGCACTTGCTGGAGACAACTTTTTGTAAGGATTTATAGATGGGACTGGCACACAGTACATCTAGTGCTTAAAGGGATGTTATGATTTAGGTGGCTTCCTGTATTCTAAAATAGGAAAACTACATGTGAAGTTCTGACATTTCTGCAACTTTTAGGACTCTAATATTTTACATAGGGGAATATCTGCAGCTTTTACCTCTGTACATTTGCTTTAACAGTCACTTGCTGATACTTAGGTACTTATGCTATGTAAGGCTTTCAACTTGTTCCCAGTATAATAAATAAAATCTACCAATTTGAGGTATTCTTCTGGCTCCTCAAAATCAGTAAATCAGTTTGATGAGTAAGGATATCAAGGAGGAGTATATCATTAGGTTAAAAAGCATCTTGTCTTTTCATGAAGGTTTTTCATCTGGATTGGATAAAATTGGAATTGAGGCAAAATTACAAGGTAAGTGACTTTAAAGTTTTTTTGGGTGAAATGTTACATTTTAGGGCAGGGTCATCCATGTATATTATATTTACATTAATTTTAATAGGTTTGTTCACAGAACAAATGTAATTCATTATGTTTGTTACTGATTTTATTATAATACTTTCAAAACATTATCAGTACATTTTGACTGGTGGAAGGGTTTTTCTTGTGTAGAGAAAAAAACGCCTTTACCTATCTCATCTCCATACATATACTCAGAAATGTGTGTGGAGCATAACACTTAAATTTTGGTTGCTTTTCCTTTGATGGTTCTCATTTGCTTTCACTAATTTCTGTTACTATACTTGCCAGTTTCTGAAAGAGTTTTTTTGCATCTTCTCTTCATCATAAGTATAGCCTTGATAACAAAGGATATAAAATACAAACATCTTCACCTTGTTCAGAACCAGTTTAAAATTAGAATTATAGGATCATTGAATGGGTTTGGTTGGAAAGGACCTTAAGATCATCTAGGTCCAACCCCCTGACATGGGCAGGGACGCCCTACCCTAGACCATGTTGCCCAAGGCTCTGTCACCTTGCCTTTAGCACTGCCAGGGATGGAGCATTTACCACTTCTTACTTCTCAGTAAGAAAAGTTACCTAGTTCCTATGTTCATTCAGTTGTTTTCTACCTTTTCCTGTCTTTTTGATCAGAACACTTCTATTTTTGGTGCTTAATGAAGTATGTTACTTCCTAAATAAGCTTTTATGTGAGAAGGCATGGTTTGAAATCACCTCTACATATAGTGATAGAGTAGAAGGCTTCACTTATAAATGCTTTGTAGGTGTGGATTGTATTTCTTTGAAGTACTCTGATCTTAAAAACCTCTTTTTACAGTCCTTGTTGTAACTCCCTTTCCTTGCATACATGACGTATTTTGTATTAATGTATGTAGTTATGTTCTCATACATTTCACTGCAATGTGAATGATTTCTGGCTGCTTTCACTTTGAGCACTTTCCCAACATACTTTTAAATTTTGAACATTGTTTGAATATACTTTTTGCCTGAAAAGGAGTTGTGCTGTCCTGTAGCAGTATCTTTCAGCGAGCTTTCTCCAGGCAGAGGTTAACCACCAACTTCAGCAGAAGCAGTTTCATATTCTAAAACCTTTACCTGAGTTCTATAGAATTAGTTGGGTATGCATTCAGTGCAATTTGATAATGTTTCTGGTTTGTACATAGTTTTTCTGCATATACTAAACCCACATATATTTTCAATTTGTTGATAGAACTATGTTTGAAGAACTTAAATGATTTATCATCTTTTGATTTGATCAGGATGGATGAAGAAAATAAATTCAAACCAACAGGTAACACCTTTTTAAAATAAACTGATTTTCAGCAGTGCTGTTGAGATTGTAGTGAACTACAACAGGTCACAACTTAATAGGACCCATTAATAGAAGTACAGAAATGTAGGAGAGAGTAGAATCTGAGAGATTGTTTGACTAGAACATACGAACAGGTTTCCTTATCAAATCATAGAAGTTCATTCTCTTAATGTTTATCCAGGAACAGATCTCTTGTTGCTGGTAAATTTGCTGCAGATTAGGAGAAAATTACAGAAAATTATCACAGAATAGTTGAATGTGACACAGTGCAATGAAGGATGGGTTTATCAATACCTGCTCTTCTCTACAGTCCTCTGCTAGAGGTGGTTGGCTTCTCAGCAACCACAGTTCGCATTCTGGTATATTAGTGTGAATTCATCTTAATTGGAGAAAACTGTACCTGGCACATGTTTCTTTCTGCCACTCTGTGATGGGGTCAGTAATGTCCATCAGGCAGCTGGGGGCAATAATATACTGAGTCAGTGGTGGTAAATGTCATAGACTCCTCCTATAAGAAAATCACTTTGATTTTAAAAATACATGAAAAACATTTGGCATGTTTATCTTTTAAGGTATGTTCTTCTTTTACAGAGACTGGAAGATTAATGGCGTGGTATTATATTGCATTTGATACAGTGAAACAGTTTTTCACAATTAAGGGAACAGAGACTTTAAATGAATTGGTAATTTAACTTTTCTAAGAAAATTTACATATTATCGATTGATTTTAAGCAGAAGTTTTAATTTAAACAGCTCACGCTTTGTCTATGTAAAGTTTCAGAGACTACATCTAAATAAATTCCTTTTGGAGTATTTTTGAGGCTTTCTACTCTTTGAGATCTTTTGCTTTCAAATACTTTCTATCCTCACCTTGCTTGTGAAGATTAAAGTTGCTGAAGCTGTTCTCTTTATGTGTCACTGTACTGTATTGTGGCTTAATAGTTATGTTTTAGTGCCAAAACAAGCAGCATGGAGAGCACATTTTGCTTTTAAAGGAATGTTGCTGTCTTTCTGGTTTAAATAATTTTCCTCTCTCAAATAAGAGGTTGTTATTGCCACTGTTAAGTCACAGAAGACGTGTTGTTTTCATGCAAATACTATAGCAGAACAGATTGGTCATGAAAAAATGGAATGCCTTTTCTCCTCAGGAGACCGTTTTGTTATGAAAGTATGAAGAAAGTAAACTGAAGTAATTTTTGCCCTCTTATGTATTTATAGTTGCTTTATATGTCATGACGTGTTAGCTGTGTGGTTGATTCTGGATAACTTCAATTGGGATAGTAATATAAAACCAAAGAAGTCTTCCCATTTAATAGCCTTTATAGGAAGATGAAGTTGGTCATTATTAGAAAGAATCAACTGAACTTCTTTCCATGGTATAGGGTTGACACAATAATGTTTTTTTAAAAGCTTTTTATTTTTTAAAAGAAGGTAATTGGAAGAAGTGGTAAAAACAATGCAAAGAAAAAGAATGAGTAAAAAAGTTAAATTGTTACAGATTACAATGATATCCAACTGCACAGAATTTCTGGATGTCAAGTTAAGAACTAATGAAAAGAAAATACTGAACACATTGAATAAAGACAAGGACAAAATAACTATCAGGTATAAAAAATAAGTACATTGAAAAGGAAAGTCTCTTTTTAGTAATAAATAAAATAAAGAGCAGAAAATCTGTCTATTTTCATTCATAGGTTTCCAATGGAGGGGAAGATAAAAACAAGAGAAATGAAAATAAACTGGTAAATATGATAATTGTTTTGTTACTTTCCATTGAAAAACTGTCATTTTAGATGCTGAAATTTGCATCATTTGCATTTCATTGTTTCTATTCTGAATTGTTTTCAGTAGAAAGTTTTATGTTGTTATACTTTGCTTACAGTATGGCTTATATACCAAAACAGTCTGGTTGGTTGTTTTTTTTTTTTTTTACAGTCTTATTCAGGCTCAGCTCGGATGCATTCCTATTCAAGACTTTACTTTGACACAAGATACTGGCAGAATATTTAGAAATGGCTTAAGAGTCACTAGATGTATGGTGAAATTTAAATCTTTTTTGGTACATATAATAATCTACATTTTAGTTGATTTATACAAGTCAATCTTATTTTTACAGGGTTAACTGACTTTCTGGCATCATGTAAGGACAGCTTTTCTGCTTTATTAAACTCTTTGATTTTAGCAAAGTGTTTCAGATGCAGACTTTGGGAAAATTCACTTCATGTGTCTAAACAACTGGAAAAAATTGGTAGGTAGTAGTCTCATAAGGGTGAATCCAATAGAAAATTGAATTAGCCTGCTAATTTTTGAGTTGTCTGCATACATAATTAAATGAGTCTCCTTACTACTTACTTTCCACAATTGAGTACCACAGTTGTTGGAATAGTCTGTCCTAAAAAGTAATGCATTCAGTAATCTTCCAGGCTTTCAAAGTATTTCAGAGTTGTTCTTCTTTCTTAATGTTCATCTCAGTATCTTGGGCATAGTCCACATTTGTGTGATTGCGTATCTCTAAATTATGCCTTTCTTTCCAAACAGCTTTCACTATAGGTCCTGTAACACGTATGCCTGAACGCCTTTTAATTTATTTTTACCTGGATAGGAATCATGAAATAGAAATAGTTTACTGTGGATGAGGTGCTTACACAGATGAGGATCACAAGTTTCTTCCTATCAGTCTATTCAGTTAATAGATGAACGTCTGTCTCGAAGTAGAAACTTGTCATAATTATTTATGAAGAAGTTTGGAAATTTTGGAGTGCTCTGTATTACAAAAATGTAGTTATACTTGTTTGAGGTAATAGTATAACTTCCTGATTTACGTCCGATCTTGTAATTTCTTGCTTTTAGAATTCACTGCAGTGTTCTCTGTATTTCTTCTGTGAAGACATATGTTCTGTACAGAAGAGCACAGTACAGAGATCTGCAAATTAGAGAATAGCTAAACCAGAAGATCCACATTGCACAGTACATTACAGCCTTGCCAGCCCAAGTGCAGAAGCTATACAGCTTCATTCATGTGGATTCAAAGGAAGGGACAGGGTTTGATAGCTTGTGTGCAGTACGGTACAGCATGGTAGGAACCCATTTCCACCAGATCTGTGCTGATATGCACATGGTCATCTGGAGGGTCTGCCTCATGTTCAGCATTTCTGGGAGTTAGGATCAGTGGAACAAACATGGCACTTACAGTGTAGTCAAATCCTTTCCTGTACACTATATTGAATAGAATAAAGACAGTTTCTTTTTTCTTAATAATGAAGTGCTATATATACTCATCTGTCCTGTTTTTTCTTTTTTTGCTATCATTGCTCTCCAGCATATATTACAAAGAACTGCTGACTTTCAGAGTTCCATTTGTTCTGCTCACAGGCTTCTTGTGAACCATCTGCTGAAAGTTCACTCTCTTCTCCTGAATCAAATATTGAATTGATGCCTACATTAGTATGTCTGATTCTTGACTTCTCTTGTGCTATGGCTGCTAAGTCTATTCTATGTTGTTATGAAGTTAACTGCTTGAGCACACAGAAATTTACTGAGAACATGTAGCATATTCAGAAATTCTTGATTTCTAAAGTCTTATCTCAGTATGGGGTTTTTAATCTTAAAAAAGCCTTGGTAACCTGTATTTCTTTTATAAGAGTGACTAACTGAGATTTGGCCTTACTGAGGTTGAGGGTTCAGCTTAATTCTCAACTGCTGTTAGTTTTGTCCAGTAATGATACTCCCTCTTGTTTGCTATGCTTGATTTCCATTTGCTTATTCTGACAGACGGGTTAACAATCACTTGTCATATAGGATTTTATCACCTTTACTACTTATTCAGTTTGATTGCTGCCTCTGTTTTTTTTTCCTTGTTCAGAAATGAAGGACAAAAAGAAAGTCTTACTGTGTTTCTTATTCTCTTCACTGGCAAAACCCTTCTGCCATTTTAGGAATTATGCCAAAAGAACTAGTATTCAAGTATTTATAAAGAAACAAGGCAACAGCTTTAACTGAAGTAGCTGCAGTAGCTGAGACTCTTTGGACTGTTTTCAGAGCTTTGGCAAAGGAGAGGGGAGGTGGTTGGAGATGCTTTCCCTCAGTCAGAACCAAAACGTATTCAAATATATATAAGAGGACAAAAGGTCTTCTGTTTCTCGAATTGTTACATTCTTGAGTTGAAATGAGTCTTTTCTTGTAAGATTGCAGTCATGTCTTCCAAGAAGCAACTTAAAAGTCTTTTGAGAGGTTTCCCAATTAATTTTCAGATCTCTTTTACTGTTCCTACAGAATTACATGTGAAGAATCCACATACTTATTCTTTTATCTAAAATTATTGTAGTTATTGTAGAAAGCTGTAGTGTCAGGTTAGAGAAATGCCTTCTTCTATGCTGTGATGACTTTAAATCTCACTGGAAGTTTGAAAGAACTGGGAATCATGGAAACAGGAACAAGATTGTATGGAATTCTCTGCCAGTTTGCTTTTGTGGCAGATATGCCAGAGGAAAAATTGTTGCTATATCTGCAAAGACTCCTAAAAGATTATAAGAAGTACTTATTTTTAGTGTATTTTATTATTAGCTTGCTCAAAAACATTGAGATCCTTATGACTTTAACATAGGTAAATAATTCCTTACGTAGGGAAAAATATTCTGAGACAATGTTGTGTGATGTGTTTTTTTTCCATCATATCTATGTAAAACATGTTTCCTGGCTCTTGCAGAAAGTGATCTAAAATCTGGTTTACTCTAGAAAACATATCTTAAAGTTGTCAGTGTTGAAACAGTCAATGTTTTCATGTTTGATTTATATTGCATTTATTTTTACTAATGGATAAGAGAAATGATACTAAAAGCAATCAACTGGAAAAAAGTTTGGTGATTTACTGGGCAAAATGCTGGGACAAACATATTATTAAGTGATTTCTGCTTTGGTTTTACCTGCTATAATGAAGCTGTTGAGAACAATTTGAGGTTAGTGATTGTCATTTAACAGAATAAAACTTCCATTTTTCCCAGGTGTATCACTTGCAAACACTATGGTGAATGCTGGGCTGACATCATTTAAAAAAATAGAAGAAACAAATGCAAGGGAACTTGAATTGGTAATTGATTATTTTGTATGAAAATAAGTATAAGGAAAATAATGAGTATTAATACTGTTACCAGTAAAAGCAGTATGGTTAATATATATCTACTGTATGATTCTTAGCAAAATTGAGTGGTTTAGAATAATAGACTCAGGGAATAGTTTGGGTTAGAAGGGACCTTCAAAGCTCATCTAGTCCAATCCCCCTGCAGTGAGCAGGGACATCTTCAACTAGATAAGGTTGCCAGAACCATATCCAGCCTGGCCTTGAATTTGCTTATACTGGTGAATTAGAAACTTACATGGCTACTGCTGCTTTTCCTTGAAAATATGTATGATCTTTTATTCTAGCAAATTAAATGTGGAAGATTTCACTGATTTGGCTAGGTTTGGAAAACAGTTGCTTAAATCTGTAGAATTTCATCATTATATGGTTTGAAACAAAAGACAATATGCATTTCCCTTTTACAAGTGTTAGAAAGAAAATATATATTTAAAGTTTCTCTTCATGTATGTTGAGAATCCTGAATTTCCATTATTTCTAGTTTTAGTTAAAGATAGTCATAAAACAAAGTTCTCAATCATCTATAAAGCATTTTTTATTTTATGGAAGTTAGACCCCAGGACAAGTTCTTTAGCTTTTGGCTTCTTTTCTGAGGAAACTCTTTTTCCAGTGTTCTGGAAGATAAAACAGATTTCTAAAGGAAATCGATCTTACTTGGGTTTTTCTGTTTTGGCTTTAGGAATCTGAGTTCTCTTTTCTGCCTCCTTCTGCAGTTTTCCTGTCATTTGTTTTGTTTTGATAAAAACTAGGGCAACATAAAAGAGTCACCTCATATAAAACCTGAGTAGTCAGGTTTTGAGGTTATTGGCTAGTTCACTGGCTGTTACCTGATGAGCAGTGGTAGCAACAAGAAAAATACTGGAATTTTCTTTTGGTTCTGTTGCTACTCTGGGCACTGCTGACAGGAAAGAACCAGGAGTGATAAGGGCTTTTGTTGATAGTATAACTACTCTGGTGACTTTGATTCCTTGCATTTACATTTCTCCTGGCATCTCTGATCAGCTGAATGTATCAGAAATGAAATTAAATCTTTGCAGATTTTAAACAGACATCCTCCTTTTGGAAACCAGATAAAAGAATCTGTTTTGCACCTTCCAAAATATGAACTTGACATTGAACAGGTAAATGCTTTTCTATTTAGTTTATTTTTTATGCTGATATTATTAAATGAAAGAGCATGATATTATTAAATGAAAGAGCAAATACTGACTTAAAGAAGTTTTGAGCCTCTGCTGATAGAAGGTAACACAATATTAAGGCCTCTGTCCACCTTAGCATGTATAATCAAATTCTTAAATATTGAAGGAGAGCCTTGGAATAGACATTCCATGTAATACATTGGCCTCTCTCTCATTAATAGCATTTTATGTTCCAGATGCGAACCAGTATATTCCACATTCTAGCATTATACGTAAGCCTGAGAGTTCTCTTCTGTCTTAATGATAAATCCTAGAGACAGAAAAAGCATCTATATAAAAGTTACTGAAGAAGCATTAACTGATGTTTATTTTCAGTGTCACATTTAGGAATACAGAGAAATACTAAATGGTTACACTAAATCCGCTGGTACGCTTTCAAAGGAAGGGTGTAGTTCTATGTGCAGCCAAGAGCTTTGAGGTTCTGATACTCATTTTGCCTTTAAACAGATCACACAGCCATGCTACCTATCTGAAATGCAAAATTTGAAACATAGCCTTAAAGTGTCTCATGAAGATACCCTTGAAGTTAAAAACTCAATATTATGTGTGAAATCTTATTGTTGCAACAATCAGTTCTATTTTAGTCATTTGACATAATACCACATGAGTATCTCTAAAGTTATTCTCAGAAGGAAGATTTAGCAGTTAAAGGTATCTTTTAGAGGAATGTTGTGATGTCAAAACACGCCTAGGTTTTCTTCCTGTATCTTTCTGTTTGCATTGAACAGAGGAGAATTTTTTTAAGGGCTTAATGTAGACTGTCTTTTACTCTCAATACTTAATCAAATTTAGAATATTCAGCTATGGGCAAGTTAGTACTGTATAACAATGTCTCAGAACAACAAATGAACATTGTGCCATAAACTGAAATTGCTTGAGTCGAGATTGTGTTTGCATCAACAGTTAAAAATCTACAGTAGAGCACATACTTTGCATATTTTAGCAGTTATGTCTTCTTCTATATCATTTTTTCCTAGCTTCCAAAATACAGTGATACATTGGCTGAAATCTTAGTAACCATCAGATTAACAAACTATGAGCAGCTACAAACGAAGAGAACAGCGACAGACTTCCACTATGTTACACTGGTTATAGGAGATGCTGACAACCAAGTCATTTTTAATCAGAAAATTATGTATGTATTATCAGGGGGGTTTGCCTTACATCTTTTAAGGCTATTGGCTTTTAATCCTTACTGTGATTCATGAGTTTTCCAATACTTTGTATTGATGATAAATGGTACAAAATCACTCTTTATCCTACAGCATTTTTTAGTCACTGTTGTCATTTAAAATGCTGCACAAGATTCAAAAACCTCCAAAACATGCCAGTGTATTTGTCAGTACAGAGTATGTGTAAGTATCTGTACAAGACTGATGTCATATTATGGAAGTCATAATAATTTCCATATCAATATAAACCATAAATACAAGCCTATTTAAAAAACACCTTCTCAAGTTGTTACTTCCTCTTCATAGCTGTATTTCTTTAATTATATCATATTGTCAAAGTTGTTTCACTCAGAGATGGAATTAAATTCTCCAGCTGGCTTAAGGTATGCTTGGAGCAAATGGGAAAGGAGAAACGAAACCTTTTCCAACTGTGTGACCTTCACATGAGTTCACGCTGAGGTCTGGCACTTTTGGCAGAACTGAAACTTACTTGCAGGATCCTGGCTTTCTTATGACCATGGATTGTATATTATTGGAAGGTTATTTTTAGGCCACTTAGCAAGCAAAATCCAAGAACTAAGACCAAAGAAAGGCTCTTTCACTTGGTTACAGATGTCATAGTATACAATCGTGTTTTCACTGTCCATGCCTAACAAAACTTCACTGATACATTACAGGGATTCTGTGCTGCTGAAAACTGGCAATTGGACAAAGAAAATTGAAGTGAAAAGAGCTCTTAAATCAGAAGAAATTAGTATAAATTTAATTAGTTCGGATTACGGTAGGTTGGTTGATATGCCTTTAATTTAAAAACAGCTGCATAACATTTTGAATAAATGATTAAAACACTTTATATCAAGCCAAAAATTACAATAAAATGAACTGATCTGGAAACAAATTATATTACATGAGTATTACCTAACAGTCCTAGTTACATATCTGTTTCATTTATTTGTGTATTAATGAACTGGGAAACATCAAAACTGTTACTGGGAGATATTTTACTCTGATACAGATTAGGATTCTCTTTTGCCCTTTGCCTTGAAGTTGAATTAACTTTCAGTTGGGATAACCTATCATTTTGATAAGTTATTTATGCTGGGAGGAGCTGTCTTTGTGAACAGTTAGGTTTTGCATTGTGATAGAAGAAGTATTAAATATGGATTCGTCTTCACTTTAATAGCAAGACAGTTCTACAGTGGAAAATTTTGTGCTTTAATGTGTGCCGATTTAAACACAGGTCCCATCAGTGTCAATCACCATTATATTGGCAGTGTAAAGCCATAGATAAATGTAGTTTTAAAACAATTCAGAAAAAAAATCTGTTAAAGGGACTAATTTTGTTACTTGTCTAGTAATCATGTCTTTAATTCTGAAAATGTTTGGGTTTTTTTAGTCGTGATCAGAAAGAATCCATTCATATAATAGTGTGCTTTTAATGGTACATTACCTTAATAAATCTTCATGATCCTTTAATAGCATTTGTACTCTTTAGAAAACTGAAAGTAATCAGTAGTTTAGAAATAGTTTATAGTGATTTTAAATATTTTTGTCTTTTTCTTTTTTCTCTAAAGTTGGCCTTGATATACAGCAAGCATATACAGCCTTTTACTTAACACCAAAACCAGTGGGAAATAAGGTGGTTACAAATCAAAACCTGCAGGCCAAGTCTTCACTTGATACACGTTATGGCTCACCTCAGAGTCTGTCAGCAGCAAAAGTAGATACAGGTAAACAGTCAGATCATAACATTTGGCTAATACCAAAGTCAACAGAAAATTGAGGTTTGCTTTCAGTAGAGATCATCTTTACCCATACTGTTTCTTTCAGAAGTGTAACAGAAATACAGTGGCACTGCTTTCACTTGTCAAGTGCTGCAGTGCAAGTCTTTCACGAATTGGAAAATAAGAAGAATTAAGTATTTGGTATTTAATATTATCATTTGAATGTGGGAATGTGTACTGCCTCTGTCAGTACCACTGATTAATATTATTTGAGCAGCCCAAAGTTTTGTTGAAGGCAACAAAAATCTAGTGACCCAGATTACTTCTAGCCTGTCTTTTACTGCCTGAAGTACTCTCTCAACAATACATATGAAATAAAAATGAGCATTTCTATATGTATCTAGGAGGCAGATCTAAACAAGAGATTACTTACAAGAAATACGGAAACAGAGAATGCAACCACCGCTGTAAAAACAAAGACGTGTGTGGACATGACTGCTGTGAGTTTTCTTAAATCTACTATTTCTGTTAATTTTAGACAAATATAATTTAAAATAGCTTAATTTATAGCAATAGCTACATTAACAGAAGCAGTGTGTCAAGAGAGTCAGGCCTCAGCTGCTGTTATCATGCAGTCATAAAAGCACGAATAACAAGTTTGGTCTTTTACACTTTTATAGGAACTACATAATTAATAATACCTTTCAGAACATGCAGCATCGGATTAAAGAGCAATGTAAAGCCTGTTACACTTTTATATAAATATTGGTGTGTTATATCTTTTAAGATCTTTTATTAGAACATACTAAGCTTAGTGGCAAAGTTCCCATTGATCTGGGAAGAATTAGGATTTATCACTTCTAAATTAATCTGAACAGTATTTTAATTCCTTTTCTTCTCAGGTAAAATTGGAGTACCTCCAAAGTCTGAGATGAATGGAGATGCAAAGTTTTCTTTGTACCTAGCTGATTTAAGGAGCAGGAACTCAATTTCATGTGTACCCCCAGTAAAACGGTTAAAGGTTCATTTGAATACAATCAGCCATTGAATAGACTTCTTTTAATCTGTTATGTATTTTGTATGTATTGTTTGCAGACAGAATTTTGTAACTAAATATGAACACTCAAGTTTGTCTTTTCTGTGTGGAATGCAAAAAGCAAAGAAATACATAGGTACCAAATGTCCAGGAATCTTTGAGAGGTTCTGCTGCTGTTTGGAATACTTTAAATGATCCACTTCTGTACATGTACTCTTTGGTTTTACTTGCATTGCATTTGATATATTGTGGTGGGTGAGGTACAGAGGCATCTCTGGAAGGTACAGTACTCTGACTTGGTCTGGGCCAAATATGACCTGAATGAAAATAAATAGTGGTATTTATCAGAGTAATGCTACAATGAGATCTTTTTGCATTGATAGGTAAATACACCTATTATAAAAAAACCCCACCATGTTAGCTTTTAACCTCTGAAGGGTTTCATGGGTTACACTTTTTCCCTTTGAAAGTACTAAACTAGTTCTTTCTGCAACAAGAATGGCATTTGAGATATTGGAGTGTTTTATTTCCTCCTCAGTTTTGTTTGCTTGTTTGTTTGCAATAGAGAATGATTTAGCCTGTAGCTAATACAGTTGAGAGTTAGTGATAACCAGTCTGACTTTGCCATGGTACTTGGATAACTCCACTAGACACAAGTAATTCAAACCTTTTTAACTGATTATGTTAGATAAGCAAACATCAGATTTTACATATGATCTTTAAAAATTATGTTAACTTCATACAGTATTAATGATGTCATTAAAGTTGTTAAAAAACAATGGTTTTCAATATCTTTACATCTCATCAGTTACAATAATCTGCTTTCTTTAGATGCAGATGTTAAATCAAACTCAAACTGTGGATCTCAAGCAATTTGTTTTTACACCTAAATTTTCATTGCCGGCATTGCTGAGGTACTGATTAATATAAGTAACAAAAGAAAAACTGCCTTATTTTAGATAATATTAAGTTGTAACAACTAAAACCTGTTCTCTGACTAAAACTATTTTGCAATTTTTTGCTACTGTTTTACTGGCATGTGAGTGATTTCTTCCTTTTATTTTAATAGGTCTAGCAATGGACAGTTATCTTCATTACCTTCAGTGGACCAGACAGATAATATTAATAGCTTAGGGGGATCTCAGAAACAACTGCAGTCCTGGAACTATGGGAAAAGTAGTAAGTTATTGCTAATGTTTGAAATTACAATTTTTTACTGTTTTGATTTGAATGTATTTGTAAATTCAAACTTGCTGAAATCACTATGACAACCAGTATAACATTATAAAACACTGAATGTATAGGGGAGATATAGTGGTCTTAATTGGGTTTCTTTCTGGTATTGCTAAGAATTTCTAATGTGTATCTAAGTGTCTAAATGTACCTTTAAATAAAACAGTAATGACTCGATCAAATATATGAAGTTCTAAATATATAATATTTCCTGAAAGGTATGACTGTAATATATTTCTACTGAAGCCACTTGTAATACAAGAACTATTTTACCACTATATGTATATATTTTCTTCTTTTCCCTTTCTGCTGGAAGAAGTTAGTAAAGAATGAGCTTTTGTTTGGTAGTTGACAAAATGTGACCATTCAGTAACTGAGTTCATAATTAGTAAAACATCCTTATCTGGAAAAAAAAATTCTGTTTCGTCTCCACTGGAAAGGCCACAAATCTTCTTACACATGGTGTTAAATGATTTGTCTTCATTATCAGTATATAACTATGATGTTCTCACTGCGTGCCTTTTGCCTTTGTATTCGGTGACAGCAGATCTATGTGAATGAAGCTTTGATTAATTTGGCTATTAAATTCCAATGTTTAAGTCATACTCAGACATATAAGAAACACTATGCTGAAATGAATGGAAACTTTTTAGTCTGTACTGCTTTGAGTGCTGGCTGCTATACTGTGTAATTTTAACATCCTTGTCAACAAGGACAACGGGATTGAGCGCACCCTCAGCACGTTTTACGACAACACCAAGCTGTGTGGTACCGTCAACACTCTGGAGGGGATATGAAAGGGATGCCATTCTGTGGTTCTGTAATTTCATTTTTGCTTAATATTTTGATGATGGGATTGTAATCCTATTTCTTTAATGCTTCATATTTTCCTGCAATACTAATTTACCTGCTATAGTTATCTAGTCTTAAGATGGAAGACTGTTGCGTAGGTGTATCGTGGTTTGCTGGGAGGAGAGAGCAGGTTGTTCATGTATCATATGATTGTGTTAAAAGAGTAAAGTCATGGGATGACTGATGGATATTCCAGTATAGCTATAGTCTGTGCTCAAGAACATCTTGAGGCAAATCATACAGGATCAAGGGGATGTAGAAGATACTGCTGACTAAAAACCATCTCTGTTGAATAAGCAGCAGAAAAGCCAGCCTTGGCCAGATTGATTAGGCTGGCTGGATTTTACAGAAATGCACCAAAAATAGTTCTAATAAAGGCATCAGTTTATATAATTTTTAAAGTATTAACTGCATCTGTAATACACTATCTTTCCATTTCATACCAAAAAAAAAAAGTGAGAAATGTAATTAAGAATATACAGTGAAATTGTAGTAACCTGTCGTGGTTTAAACCCAGTCAGGTTACTCGTTCGCTCACTTCCCCCCCCCCTTGCTTGCCCTCCCCCTGCTCCCGGAGGGACAGAGAGGAGAATCGAAAAGAATGCAACTCCCACAGGTTGAGATAAGAACAGTTTAGTAACTAAGGTATAACACAGATCACTACTGCTACCACCAATGATAATAATGATAAAGGAAATAACAAGGGAAGAGAATACATCATCTCACCACCAGCCGACCGATAACTCGCCCCCCCCAGCCCGACCAAGCTCTGACCGATACCTCCTCCAGCCCTGCCGTCTCCCAGCCCTTCCGGCTAACTCCCAGTTACATCCTGGGCATGACGTGCTGTGGTATGGAATACCTCTTTGGTCAGTTTGGGTCAGGTGTCCTGTCTCTGCTTCCTCCCGGCTTCCCTTCCTCCCTGGCAGAGCATGAGGCTCACAAAGTCCTTGGCCAAACCAAAACATTCTTGTTATCAGCTCTGTTCCCGAGCTGAAAGTCAAAACACTGCACTGCACCAGCTATCAAGAAGGAGAAACACGACAGCTACTGCTGAACCCAGGACATAACCTAAATACATGATTTAAAGTCTGTGTAACTGCAGTAATGCACTGTGCTGACTACACATCCAAAATGACAACGGCAGTCCCTTCATGGTGTTGCCAATGTCTCTGGAACAGGATTTCTGATTTGAGCCTCTCCTGCTCCCCCTCTGTTGAAAGGGAGACCTGGATCAGGATTTTTTAGGCATATTAGGGCCATGGCAACAGAATGAAGTTTCCAGCACTGTCTGATGCTGGAGGGTAGTTTGGCAAAAGAAAGATGAAAAAATAGCAGAGAATGGCACTGGTGATGAAAAGAAATAACACAACAAACAAAAGGGAAAGAGATAAAGGAGATAGGAAAGTCATTTTTGCAACAGAATAAAAAAGTATTTTAAAACATTAACTCACATTTTATTTAAGAATTTTAACAACAATGCTTGAAAATGTGTTTGTCATGGTTGTTCTTAGGCATTAGATCTGTGTGGAGGCAGAGAGCATTCAGTGTGTTGAAAACTGGGGAGAAGGATGGACTGAATTAAAAGTACTAAGTTTGGAATCAAGCAATGCTTCTGACAAAGGCAAAGAATGATATAGCAGTGGTTTTCCTAGAATCTACGCTGAGGGTGACTTTTCTCAAAACAATGCTGAGAAAAGTTGCATATAGTACAATCCTCCTTTCAATAGGTTGAGCAAGTGGTCATAAACCAGACAGGTTTTGTTGTACTTGTCCATTACAAATATATTACAGCTTTTGCTTGGGAACATTCAGTGTTTGAGTGTGAGAAAAGCTGAGACAATGGCATAAAAAAAAAAGTTTAAATCATTAATGTGTAACCTGATGGATGCAGATAAAAGCAGATCTTGTTTTTCAGATTCTTTCGATGTGGACTTTGAAATGCAGGATGATGTTTGGGATGATATTGATGATGAGAAATTAGTATATGCTAGCAATTTTGACAGTAGAGATATAGGTATGCTTTACAAAATTCTTTGTTTCCTATGTAGAAATTATTTTACAGGCTATTATTTGACAATAATTTATAACAGTACACAGTGAAGACAACTACCTGAATTTTTTTGGTTTGTTGACTTTACCACCCTTCAATGTCACCTATATTGAGATAAATGTAATACATAAGGGAGAGTTGAGAAAGTAATAATGAAATATCTTTTGGATGGCCTGCAACTGCATAGTTGTTATTTTGACTGCTTATCTCTGCTATCTTTTCATTAGCTCAAGACCTACAGAGGAAATATTTTAAGTGTTAAGACATTTGTATAATTTTCAACCTATTATTTATCATATTAAGATATTTAAGATATTTAAGATATTAAACTTTCATTCTTACATGGAACATGGAAATATCTGTCTTTAAATTCCAGATGAGTGTGAACCAATTGGCCAGTATATAAGAAGCAAAGCCACAAATGACATTTCAAAACAGTAAGCATTATATTATTTATTACCATTTTATTTAGTTAAAAATATTGTAGCTTTATAATTAAATGTAGAGAAGGATGTTCACTCATAAAACTGAGTGAAATTTCAGCTTTTAAAAGGCAAGAATTGTTGAATGATTTGATTTTTTTCTTTTTTTTCCTGTTTAAGTGTGAAGGGAAATAAATAGAAAATTCTGAACTGAAAAGTAAATACTTTTGCACTTCTGTAAAAATACTTACATTATTCAATTGGTATTTTCAGTTCGTGCACATTACAAGATGAGACAAGTGTTCAGAACTCCCCAGTTTCTGTGGTTGATAGCCCATCAAAAGTGAATTTATCTGCACAGCATGGAAATACAAATATGGTGAGTAAAAATACTTTTTATAAGAGAATTTCCTAGAATTTCCTAGGTGTATAAAATATATTTACCACAGCTGACTTCTGAGTCAGCTTGGACATAATGATTTTCTGAACCTTTGTGTTGTCCAGATATGCATGCATGCTGTGTTCAGTGTGATATTCATGATACAAAAAACTAGGACCTGAATTTACTTCACATAGCATGACTTCAAAACTCAATTTGATTGTGATTCTGCAAGTTATTTAATATGTAATTAGATTTATAATGCACATGGACCTTGTCAAATACAAGAATATCAGTATAAATATCTGTACTACATACTACAGCAGTCTAGTATTTTCTCTTTTGGATTGTTATTTTAACCAGATACACTTTTCACCATTTACACTGCAGTTCAGTTTTCAAGAGAAAAACTGTTCAAATCTTTCACAAGAGCTGAAAACTGCACAATGTTCTTCCATCTCAAAAAAGATCCCAGACTCTTCTAAATTCACTAGGAAAGAGGATTTCTTTATTTTCACAGAACAGGAAAAGGAAGCAGATCCCAGGTAATAAAAAGTTGTGTTCTTCTGTTGCCTCAGCATTCCAATGCTTAGTTCCTCATGGAACACAGACTTTTAGGCAATGTGTTAATATATAACCTTAATTTTATAAAGATGAATTTTCATAGTAATAGAAGCAATTAACTTATTTTTTTAGAAAGGAAATACTTTAAAGTTATTTTGCTTGTCTTGATATTTCTTGACTATTCTTTGTATAGTGTTCCTGATTACTTAGGTTTTGATGTACTAAATGTTTTTGTTTGCTTCATCTTCATTAGATACCTTCTTGATGATGAAATCAATGATGTCAAGCCCTTTCTTGGTATATTTGATGGCATTTTGTAAAACATATAAACCAAAATACATTGTAAGAGTTGGGGAAAGAAGTTACAGTCATCTTTACAGAGGGAATCCTTCAAATCCAGTTAAGTGAATTATCTCTGTTGTATGCCTATTTACCAATAGCTAGATGGCTGCACAAAGTAGATGGTAACACAACTGATGTAAAATTTACAGAATTCTAGGTATATTATCTTGTTCTGAAATGTACTTAAATACTTGTTTGTTGGCTTTGCTGTTTTTAAGAAAATACTGGAATGTGTCACAGGAGAATAGGTTTCAAACTGAGGGTGCTGTTATAAACTGAAAAACACATAAGGGGAAGTGAGCTGTATATGACATGCCCTGCTTACAAGTACACTTTAAATGAATGAAAGGCTCTTTCCTCAGAAATTTCTTAATGCCTTTTGGTGTTATCTTTCAGTTTCTCTAATGCTGATTTTGTTTATAGCAGTGTTTCTGTAAAAATAATTAGATTTACAAATAAAAGGAACAGAATGGTAAGCTACTCTAGGCTTTTGACATTCTAAAATGTCTACAGACAATACTCAGAAGTTGTGTTTGCCTGTGCACTTTTACACCAAAGGTCATAAAATGGACATTTATGCATCTTAGTGCAGTTTTAGGCAACCAAGCATTGGATTTGGTTATCTTATTGTAACTATTTTTTGAACAGTAGACCTTGCAAGTTCAATAGTTAGAAAAAATACATGATATTCCCTAAAGTCCAAGCAACTGCTAATTTTCACTGTTAATTATTCAAAATGTATGGAATTAAAATGTTAGAAACTCATGCCTGGAACTTTAGCTGTCTGTTCTTGAAACCAAATGCAACACTATTTTGCTGCACTACGTGGTTGTATTTTTCTCAGCTAATAACATTTTACTTGACTCTGATGTTTCCTTACACTTTTTACTTACTCTCTCCATATGAAGGCATGGCCTAGTATGAGCAGCATCAGCACCCACCACTTGGTATGGTTTTGACTGCACAAATTCCAACAGACCAAAGCTTTAACTCACTTTGCTGTACTTCAAATATTTCATTGCATCTGGAAGTTTGTAGTATGTCAGATTTTTTTGTCTCAATTGTTTTTTACATTAAACTTCCAAACTACGGTAACTCAGAATTATTATTCTACTACATTTAGCCCTGCAGTCCTAGTCATATACTTCCTAGTCACCTCCCAGTTCTGTGTCAGAGTGAGATTTAAGAATGCAAAGTGCCAAATATAATTTTAGGTGACCCAGAGAATCTTCCCTCAGCTCCATCTACTGTGCCAAAGATGTTCCAAATCCTCTAGGGCATCTAAAATGTACTGGATGCTAATGTTTAAATACCTGATTCTCTCCCTGCTACTTGAAATACATGGGGTTTTTTTTTTTCAATGTATAGTTCATATTTACATGGCATTCTTTAACTGCCTTTGTATCCTGCCTTTCCCTGGCCTTTTAGCTTGCAACAACTAATTGAGCAGTTCCTCAGTTTCTTCATGTTGGCCAAAAGCTTTTACACAGCAACACAAGGCTGAGCGTCAAACATGGGAAAGAGGAGAGGAAGGAAACAATTAATGTAATCTTGAGATTATACATCATTTATATCATATTGTTGTTATACAACTTGCAACTTTCCAAAACCTTACTCACCTGCTGGTTGCTGAGGCCTCACCTGCAGACTGGGAGAGCTTCTGATGGCAGGTGCTGCACCTTTTCCTGCTGCTCTGCATGAAGCTCCTTCTTAAGGTTCTTGAGCTGTGAGGCAGAAACTAGTGGAATTTGATTGTGCTTAGGTCTTCATAAAAATGAGTAAGGTAAACTTCATTTATTTCTCTGTACTAAGGAAGCATCCTTCTGAGGGGTTTTTTTGCCCCATTACTACACTGAAGGTGTATTTCCATTTTTCTGTGAGGTATTTTTGTAGTTTATGTGATGTCAAAAAGTAATTGATATTATTGCCATTTTTTGCTTCTTTTTTTTTTTTTTTGGTATAGTCTAAATATAACCACTTGGCTTTATTTACTTTATAGGAATAAGTTTATATCTAGACTACTACTCCAAAGAAAATGACCCTTGCAGGCAGGTATTTTATTTTCCTCTTATTTTTCACCAGTGCAGGAGTTCAGAAGTTATTATTGGGGTACTTCAAGATTTAAAAGGCTTTCATTTTCAATTTGACCCATAGTCAGAACACATGATAACAGAAGCATTTCAGTACTTTTGAGACTATTCAAAGTGCTTTGCAGATGGTTTATCAGGTTGTTTCCTGTCTCTGTTTTTCACAAGACAACCACATCCTGTATTATCCTTGGAAAATTACAAACTTCTGCTATCGCTGCTGACAGCATTTCAGAGATTTCAGACTATAAATCTTTCAATACTGCTATGTCTTTACAGGAACACTGAACCTCTGGTGCAAAAACATTTTTCTAGAGATAAGGGCTTTATTGGGCACTGTTGTTTCTCTTTATTATTCATATTAGCTCTATGACTCTTTAATTCACTTTCAGAAAACCAGTTTGGAAGTACTTAAATGCTGAAGCATTCCTTATCTCAGGAAAAGGAATGACTGTTCATATGGCAGCATTTGTTATTGTTCCAGTTTCAAATCAGAGTAATTCAAAGATCAAAAGTGATAATCATAGTAGGTCTCTATGGCAACAATTACTTGCAGATACACAATGACGATACTTCAAAACAAATACAGGCAGAAAAAGCAAACTGACTACAAAATTAGAAAAATCTAGTACAATCTTAATTTTTTTTTTTTTTAATTCAATTTCCAAACTAAGGTAGCTCAGAATTACGATGCTACTACTGAGTCCTACTCATGTACATCCTAGTCACTTCCCAGTTCCATGTCATGGTAAGGCTTAAGAATACAGTTTACCTCCATCATCTCTCTTCCATGGCAATCAGATGGCTTCCAAGCAGGAACAGTGGTGTTTCTCCACAGATGCTTTATATGAATGGCCAGGGACCAAAATCCCATCTTATGCGCCGAAAGTTAAGTACAGACGTAGCTACAAAGAGCTGTAATTTTAGTAATTTAACTGAATCACATTAGGTGATAACCTAGTTCACCTGGGGTCCCTATGTAGTCATTAGAAAGAGGCAGACACTGTCAGAAGATCATTCACATTGTAAGTGGGCTGAATTGCTCCCAGTTCAGGTGGAACTCACCAAATTAGCTATGATGAAAGTGACCACATACAGTTAGCTTGGAGCAGCTGGTGTGCTGTAATTTCACAGCCAGGCTCACTTGAGTATTGCCTTTCTTGTGCACATGAGATGCCCAAGTTCTTTTATCCACATAAGGATTCAACTTTCCTAAATTGAGTACTCTTATTTCTGTACAGCAGAAGATGGCTGTGCTCCACTAATGTTGCTGTGTGCAGCTTCCTTCTAGTTGCTGTCCAGGTGATAAAACATACTGATTAAATTCAACAGGATAACATCGGACAATATCACTAAGCTACTACCAATAGATAAAATACAAACTAAAATACATAAAAACATCGTTAAAGTCTGAAAGGATCCTTGTTTTTAATTCTGCATAGAGTTGTAACATTAAATGAGTGGCTTGATTTTCAATCAGTGGGATTGTGTAAGTAATTCTTTGGGGATACAGCAGAATGCCACAGACTTTAGTCTGGGGATGATTCTATAAAATTTACATTATAAAAATACTGTTTCCCATAATGGAGTAGTGAAAGAAAATTCAATGTGACAAGAAGTCAGATTTTGCTATCTTACTTGTCTGATTCTCTGTAATAAAATACATGCTTATACCTGCTTCTAATTTAACTTCAACTTCCTTATATGATTCCTTGTCCTATCACATAAATTGGTTTCAAAATATAAACTGAGGTCAACCATATCTGTGCCTGAAGAAAATGCAGTATCCCCTCAAACCCCATGATCTTATTGTTAGCAGGAAAATAAGTATAGTGTTTAAACATGTTGCCAGATGCATTTGTGTTTAAGGTACGTTCACAGCATATGGAATACTGTAAACGTGACATCAGTATAATTGTATGCAGCATGTCTCGTGATCATTTTAACTATGTAGACCTTATTCATGTATTTGAAGACTTTAATGGGTTAAACATTACCATAATTACTAAAGTAATGATAGTGGTTACAAGTCAGACTCTTGTTATTTGGATGTGGTTTTGCTTTGATGTACCTTCACAGAATAGTTATGTGAGGTATAAAAGTTGGTGCTCTTAAAGGCAGTGAGCCTGAGGATAAGGAGTGAACAGAAGTCACTGTATGGAACCAATATACACCTGAAAAAGAGTTAAAATCTCTCATTTTGTAAAGCACAAATAATACACCTCTAAGGCATCATTAGGACAGAATAACTGGTATCCCTTCTAAAAGAAGTATTTTGCCTTACCTTTTTATGTCACTCCTTCTGCTTTTTATGTAGGAGAGCAGTATCATGTGAATTGTTTTACCAAAAGAACTTTCAAATTATATCCATGAAAAGAGACCCATGGATGCCTGTTGGGTTTTAGGGGTCTTTCCTACCGTCTTTGCTTGACAAGGAAAAGGAGGTGCTAGTCAAGATAAAATTAACTTCTTTCAGAGGATTACCAACACATGGAATTTATTGAAGGCTTAGATGAGAATTAGCTGAGGCGCACACTGTGTGCTGATAGTTTGCACTGATGATCAGCTTGACTGAAAAAAGTCAGATAGAAAACAGGCAGTGGTTTATTTGCTGCCTCTGTTTGCCTGACATAAGGGCCACGCTGGCTGAACGACGTTTCTGTATTCATTCTTGAAACCTGAATGAGAGAAACTGTACCTGTCCAAACCATCGCTTTTTTTCCCCGTGTTGTAACTCTTAGTCTCAATGTGCTCTTGACAGGTATTTCAGATGGGGTGGGCTCAGGTAAGGACTGCATCCTCATAAGTCATAGAGCCTTTGGGGCCCTTTTGTCTCCTGCCTTTCAGTGGTGCTGATCACTGTTGCTCTCTCCTATGGTTGTGAAGTGACTGGAAAAGCTGTGCTGCTCTTAACATGCAGGCCTGCACTCCACGTCCTGTTCTTAACAACAGGTTACAACCCAAAAGTTTATACCAGCTGGGGGAAATTGTTTCCCAATTCACTTTAGTATGCTACCTACCATGTTAAACAGTACACTTCCACACTTCCATTCTTCTTTCATTCTAGTCTTGTGGGATGTGGTTTGAGTGTTCCTGAGTCTGTCATCCTGTGGTTTTTAGATGGATTGTTTGCATGTGCCAGGACTTGAGGGGCACATCTGACTGTCGGTGTGTGAAAATGTCACACTGCAGAAATGCAGCAGATTATATGGGGTGGACATACTTTGTATAAAGAAGCTATATTTCCTTCAAATGTAATAAAAGTGCCTAGACCCAATAGCAAGGAATTTCTTCCTCTATTTAAGTTATAATAAATGGAACTAGCATGTAATGATGATCTAGATTATCCTTTTGCTTGATGCTACATGGCAATTTCTGCATTTTAGATAGTTG